TCTTTAATGCCCTAAATTCCTTGGGGCCAGGTTATTGAAAGGACAGCTTCCTCTCATACCAGCCATCTTAACATCTTCCTCACAAGCCCTGCTCTGAGCCTTCAGAGGGGAGGTGGGTGGTAACCACAGACAGGGCTTTTTCAACAGTGACACTCTGCTGTGAGGTATGTTAGGTTGAGTGCATGTGACTGCCCCAAGGACACCCAACAAACTTCCGTGACAGAGTGGGGATCTGAACCTGGGTCTCCCAGCTTCCCATCCAACAGTCTAACCAACTTCTACACCAGACTTCTTCCAAATAATAATATACTAAGTGTTGCAGGGCTCTGAAACAATGACTGCCATGCCAAACAGGCTGAAGCTGGTAGCTACCAATTATTTGCAAATATCTTTGTTTTAAAGTACCTTAGTTCACACATTTGTAATCAGCTTACTCCTTCTTTGTAAGAAAGCACAGTCCATTGCATTTAATACACAACACAGTTATCTGTTTATTTACCTGTCTTTATTTTTGTTTTTATTTATTCAACCTTTATCCTGCTCCTTTCCCTGCCAGATGGAGCTCAGAGCAGCTTGTTTTTTCATTGTGAAAAATCTAACCTGCATTGCTATAATCCAAAGACTTCAATGCACAAACATGAAAAGAAAACTTATTAGAAGTTTCTCATAGAAGCATAATTGCTATATCTTTCTTCAACATGAAGGAAAAAAGAAGGGTGGGGGCTTGGTACTGATTTTCAGTGGGTTCCAACAAACCTGAGGCTGCACAGAGCCAAGACAACTGGTATGAAGAATCAAAGTATCATTAATCATCATACATCTAATTATCTGAAGTTCTGAAACACAACATATAGTGCTATGTACCAAGTAATAACAAACAGCTGATGTAATGATCCATCTGGTTAGTTCTCTTTTGGTTTCCATTTGCTAACTGAAAGAATTACAAGGCAAGGGTGCGGGAAGCCATGAATGAGACACTAATTTAAGGGTAGAATGTCTTCACCAATGCCAGCTGTGGTAACCTTGCCAGAGACCAACCATATGTATTTTCCATCCCAGAGAATTATAGGGGAGATCCAACTAACCTCTACTTAAGAGTTGGGAAATAACAGCTGCAAGAGGAAGCATACACCCACTATAAGAACAAGTAGCACACAAGTTATTTCCCTTCCTCACTTTTTGCACTCCTGACTCTCAAGGTCCAACAGATCCTCCACTCTACCCCCCTCCCCGAACTGTTACCTGCGAAAAGCCCAGAATTATCAATCGGTCCCGGGAAGAGATTAGGCTCTCCAACGTGGTACAGGTCCCAACTATCAAAGCCCACATATTTCTTCCACTGCTTGAACCACCGGCTGTCAATCAGGAACCTGCAAGCAAGCAAACGAGGGAGGGGGGTGTTAACAAGACTACTAGAAGAGGGGGCGGGGCAACAGAGTGACTCAGCACCGACACTGAACGAGCCCCTACGGCACCGCGGTGTCCTAAGGCCCAGCCGAGAAGACCACGTGAGCAGCTCCCATTCTTCTCCTCTCCCTGCCCGCCCCCCCCTCCCATTTCTCAGCCCCATTCGAAGACGAACAGCAAGAAAAGCGCCTACAGAGCGCGCGGTCCGGCCTTCAACCGGATACACCAAAGGGCGACCTGTCGTGCTGTCTCCCCGAGCCCGCTCTCTGTACAACCACCGCTCCTGCTTTCTTCTCACCAGGCCTCCCCCGGCCTCAGAGCCGTCCCTAGAAGTGGCAAGAGCTCTCCCCGCTGCGTCCCAGCGTCCGGCCTCGGGGCGGCAGTGGCACCGACACCCTCTAGTCCCGTTTCGGCCGCCGCCATGACAGTTCGCGCGCCCGGCTGTCCCCAACCGTGGATATCCTTCCTCTCCCGGTGGCGCGCACAAGACTGCGCAGGCGCAGTGGCCGTTCGCCGCAGGCGTCGGCTGGGATACCCGGCTTACGGTTACAGCCAGTGCCAGGCGGAACAAAGGTGGTGGTGGTAGTGCCTTTGGTGGTGAACAGGATGGGCAGCCATTTAACTGGCTAAAACTCCTGTTCGGGTCGGAGGCCTGAGGATGGCACCTGTTCTCTCAAACTCCATGTTGATCTTTTAACTCGTCTCCTTAAAAAGGCGGCCTGGGAGACGAGAGGATGTCCTTGATTTTGTTGTTGTTCAGTCGCACAGTCGAGTCTGGCCTTTAATTGTGCCTTCGAGTGTGTGTGTGTAAAGAGCTGTCAAATCGTAGCCGGTTAATGGCAACCCCAGCAAGGGGCTTTCAAAGCAAGTGAGAAGCAGAGATGGCTTGCCATTGACTTCCTCTGCGGAGGCTTCCTTGGTGATCTCCCTTCTCCAAGTACTAACCCTCCTTAGCTTCCGAGATCTGATGAGATTGGCCTATACCATGTCGCCTTTCCTCCAGGTCTTCCAGGGGGACTCTGATGTGGCAAAATGCCACATCAGGGATTCACTTTTCTGCATAAAGGTAGCTGTGTTTTGTTTGGAGGGCTGTCACGTTTCTTCTTTTGACATCCTGTTCCTGTACCAAAATTAGAATTTTGGTCATCTAGTCCAACCTCCTACACAATGCAGGAAATTCACAAATCCCTCCCCCTCCACACCCACAGTAACTGCTGTTCCACGCCCAGAAGATGGCAAAAAACCTCCAGGATTGCTTCCTGACTCTAAAGTGGCAATCGGCATTTCCCTGGGCATGTAAAAAGTGTAAGACAGAACCTCTGTCCCTGATTGTGTTTGCCCAGGTCAATTTGAGAAAACACACAAAAGCAGTCCTGTAGAGTTGGAAACAAAAAAAAAAATTATTAATTAATAAGGATGAATACAGATTCAAGGGTTTTGGAACCTTGAATACCCAACAAATTCTTCAAGTGTTACAGTGGGTGAAATACCATTTTATACTTCACATTACATCTCTCCTTATATATAATTGAACAGTGGGTGCCAAAGTTCTAATTCTAAAATGCACTCCCTTAGTGTATGGCTGATGGCACTGCTCCTCAGCATATATCGTTAACTCACATTAGAAACATGCGCAGTTGTAGCTGGCCAGAACAAGCAAGGTCATGGGTAGCATAACTGTGTATCAGCATTTCAGCCTTCTTCCCAGCATGGATTCAAACAACAGTCACAAATGAACCAAAGTTAATACCTGAATACATTCATGATGTCAGAATCATATGCATTATGGAAGTGTTAAGCACACCTACCAAGTCAAACCTGTTAGGCAGTGCCAGAGTACAAAGTGGTTCATAAAATGCGTACAACAGATCCCCCATTTTGTTTTTGGTGAAGTGAAGATTTATAGTTCACTGACACCAACCGTAGCTCATTTTATCTCTTTATTAATTCCGACAAGCATTAGCAATTAAAATATGTAACAGAGAACAGGCTTTTGCTTAAATCCTAGACCAGAGGGTTCATGTGCTAGAAGAGCTGTGTAAAACAACACTTTGTTAAAAACAGCACTTTCAATTCATCTTGCAAATCTTCTGGGACACTGGGCGCCCCGACGTCATCTGATGTTGCCTCTTTGTTTCTTTTACTTCCATTGCAGTTCAGTGCAGTAATACTAACAGCAGTATCAAAGATTAGCAGTACTGGAACATGAGCACAGAGGCAACCCTTCCTGCCTTCCTTCTCATGATCTGCCTAAGTTTACATGCCCCAAGGCACCTTGGTGAAACAAATAGAGTCTATAGTCCCACTAGTACTTAAGCCCAGAGTTATTATTTTTTAACATGTGTGTGCCTGAATCTAAGGGCATGGAATATAAACTTTGCCCAGCCAGAGTTACACTTCTATCATTGCCAGCCAAAAGATAGGGCATATCAGGGGTCATTTGGGGGGGGGACGCGGGGGGGCGGCGGGGCTTCATCATGTGCCCCACCCCCCTGCACCTCACCCGGGGGAACTGCGTTCCCCCCCCCCAAAATGACCTCTGGAAATATCATGTTAGTGCTGCACTGTGTGTATCTTCTCAGCACTGATGTCTGGCCTCTTTGACCACCGGGAAATACTGGTCACCACAGTGCTATCCTAAGCAGTGTTACATCCTTCTAAGCCCACTGAAGTCAATGGACTTAGAACGGCATAGCTCTGCTTAGCATGACACTGCAGAGGCCGGGGAAGGCACGGGGAGGCATTTAAATGCCTCCTCGATCCTTCCAGCCCCCCCTGGCCCGCCCACCTTGGAGTCACCGGGGGGGGGGTGTCGCACCCCAAGCCTTCCCTCTGTAGCCATTTATGCAGAGGTTTTGGCTCTAGTGGGTAGGGTTGCCAAATGTAATTTACTCACCGGCGGGGGGAGCATCTTCTCACTCCGGGAGCTGGCTGGGGATGTGTGCGCGCCTGCCGCCGGAACGTCACCGGAAGTGACGCACGACGTAGCACGTTGGGGACGTGGCCAAGATCATCGGGGGAAAACCATATGGTTTCCCCCCCGACGATCTGGGCCACGCCCCCAACATGCCCTATGTTGTGCGTCACCTCTGGTGACGCCACTTCGGGGGGCGGGGTTCCCCCCAGGGCCCGATTCCGTCGCATTGGAAATCGGGCCTCCAAAGCGGGGGATTCCCCACCCCCCGGGCCCATTTGGCAACCCTACTGATGGCACTGGTATTTCTGGCCACCGTGTGATACAAAGTGTTGGACTGGATGGGCCTTTGGCCTGATCCAACATTGGCATCTCTTATGTTCTTATGAGCTAAAGTTTCAGTTACTGCTCAGCTACAAGGGCAGAGTCTCAGGGGGCGGCTAGTACTCTCACAGAGATCTGACAATTCTGTGAGTGGTAAAGCATTTATTCTAGCCAGGAAGAATAGTTGATGAAAAAGTGGAACCATTAAAGAGGTAAAATAATGTGGCAAAACAGGAAGAAGAGGGGCTGAAAGGCCCCCCCAAAATAGAGGAACATATCTTGGCATCTAGATTAATAGTGTCCTGATCTAATCTCTTCAGAAAATTGAGAGACCTCTTTCTAATTTCTGGTACATCCATGGGTGACTGGCGCTTATTAAACCCTCGACTGAGCAGCTTGTCTTCCATTAATTTATCTCAAAATAAATTTTTGGGGGTCAAACTGGGTCCAAATTTTATTGCAGCTGCCCAGGCCATAAGAGAAATTTGACTGCAGCCTGTTTCCAATAATAAATTAGAATTTGAGATACATTTCAGGAGCATGCAGAAGAGTGTGCAGGGAAGAACCCTGCACAGTCTCCAACCTACTTAAGGTTGCAGAGGTCCAAACAGGCACTCCATAGAGTAGGAAGGACAGAATTTTTGCATGGTAAACCTCCACTGCCATTGGAACTGGTTGACCTCCATAATGAAAAAAGAATATCAGAATAGCAGCTAACTGAAGTTTTGTTCCTTCCAGGACATGGTTAAGATGAGTAAACCAAGTGTTGGAAGCTGTAAAGTGGAACCCAAGGTAACAATACGAGTTCACTTGATCTATCAAGTGTCCATTGCTTATCCAAGACTGACTGACATTCATAGGAGTTCTTGCTTTCTGAAAGACCAAGATCTTTGATTTACTGTAGTTAATAACAAGCTGATTGTCCTGGCAATATTTTGCCATAGCTCAAAATAAACATTTCAACCCTACCCTCATACAGAATAGTGGTGCAATGTCATACGCATACAATAAAACCGGCAGGTGACGAGTATGCACTTTAGGAGAATGGAAGTTTCTATGTTGTAGCTTAAGAGGCAGGTCGTGTAGATATAAATTAAAAAGATCAGGGGCCAAAATATAGCCTTTTGCTACTGCGATTGGGTTGGAGTAATTTCCAGTAGCAGGACACTTTACCTTAACAAACAATGGTAGAGTACAGTGATTTAATCAGAAATAATAGTCTTGGTGCCATGTGCAGCTGTTCCAATTTGTTCCAGAGATTGGGGCGAGAGATCAAGTCAAATGTGGTGCACAGATCAATAAAAGCTCTATACAGCTTCCTTCTACAAGAGATGTATTTATCTGCCAAGAAAGAAAGGGTATAGGCATGATGAAGCATAGAGGAACCTTCCTGGAAACCCATTTGTTATGTTCCTATTACAGAGGAATTTGTCATACTCTCACACAGTCTAGATTTGAGCTGGGCAGCATATAATTTTCCAGGAATTGAAAGTAAACTGATGGGACAATAATTTGTTGGTGAATCAAACAATCCCCTTTTGTGAACGGGAGCAATTATAGCCTGTTGCCATATATCTGGGATTTTGCCAGAATTATCAATGGCAGTGAATACAACAGCTAAAATTGGAGCCCACCAAATAGTGTTTAACTTGAAAAGCTCAGCAGGGGCCCAATCAGGGCCAGGTGATTTCCCAGCTTTTAGTTTTCCCAGTAAGGTGAAGATTTCTTTGGTAGTAACAGGACCACAGTTTCCCAAATGGATGGGATTTGTATTCAGAGAAGAGCCTTCTGGCAAGGAGATGGAATTGTTAAAAACAGTTCTAAAGTAATTCTCCCAGTTTGTAAAGGTAACTGAACAAGTAGAGGGAGAATGTCTTCTACTCCTGTGGTTTACCAGATGCCAGAATGTGCATGTATCCCACACAGAGGAGGCTTGAAGTAATTTCAACCAATAACATTTCCTTTTTTTAGTTGTTTTTTTAATATATATTTTTCTTTCCAAATTCTCCAACAAACAAAGCTGAAAGTCCTTTTTCTTTAACTGGCTATACTAGAAAGTTGACATTTGGCCTGTAAATACTGCAGAAGAGTGAGATGGGAATTTATTCTGTGAAAACTGGATTATCTTTTGAAAATCGTAGACCCAGAAAAAGAAGAGAGAAAAGATTGATTCAGGGACCAGGATTCCAGTCCTTGAAAGATCTCTAGAGTAGTACCAATACG